TCCTGGATTTTAAGAATTACAAGTTTTATCCACAATTACATCACCAGAAATATCTGGCACCCAGTTTTCACAGTATTTTTTTAATAGCTGACTACTTAGCACTGCATTTGAGATCAAGTGTTAAACTATATTTAGTCTTATTATCATGGGGTACATAACCATTTTCACCTACCAAGCAAGCCAGATCCAGAATTACAAAAGTTCCAGTATTAATATATGCATTATTTTATATCTGCATTACCGGCTTTTTCCATTTAAGATTTTCAGTCTCAGTGAAGTTAAACCATTTGTCTGAACAAAGTTCTAGGAAAAACCAGATTATCACCAGTGAAAAAGGATGCCTTGAACCATGACCAGGCTTAAGTTGTGACACAGATCCTTCAAGAATCTCTGAACAGAGAACAAACAGAAGCAGATTTTAAAGCAGGAAAGGGCTTATGTACCAAGCCTGTGGTGCTATGGGCAAAAGAAGCCCCTCACATTGGAAAAGGTTTCTGTAAAAATATCATGCAAAAGCTTTGGATTCCTGAGAGCATAAGGAGGAAAAAATGATGCCATATCCAGCTATGACCCGAGTCCATCAAATTTTATAACATAAATTGTCAAATCTTACTGAGAATATGTGAAAAGTGTTATGAGAGCACTGCCAACATTTTGAGTATTTTTCCAACGCAGAATGTCTTTTGAATCAACTAAGTTGTTCAGGCAAAGCTACCATCACACACTGCCTTTCCTACTCGTGCCCCTCCTGTGTTAAGCTACAGGGAAAAGTGGCACTCTGCATTTTCACCCCCACAGGAATCTGCACTGGGCAAAATTGAGATGCAATCCAATTGCCAGGACTGTCATGAACCATGTTCAAAAAAACAGATTCAAATATCAGCTTAAAAATTAGGAGAATAAACCTCAGTGTTAAGACATGCAGAAATATTACTTTAGGATATTTCTAATTAATAGAAAAGTATAAACTAAAAAGACTTTTAAGATAGTAAGGCCGCTGAATGTCTTGTATGGACATAAATGGGACCTGAACAGCCACATTTAAAATCAGAGAGTAAAAGCAATTTTACTACATTTTCTGAGAACTTTTAAGGAAAAAATAACCAGGCTGATTATGAAGCTATAGGACATCTATTCTTACCTGTCTAAAATAAACAAGTTAAGTGCATACTTATATTGTGTAGCATAAGTGCAACGAAAATAAAACTAAAACTTAAGGGTCTCAGACTTCTCTTTAGTTCAAAATTAGGTGCTTAAAGTTTGAATAAGACCAATATTAGGTAACAGTATACAATATAATAGTAAACAGCATAAAATGAAAATGTAAAAAAGAAGCAGAGTGGTCAATTATGTCTGCAGTACCCATGTGAATGGCTTATTAACATGGATTCTCCTCACTGTGCAGGAACACTTGGATTCAACTGCACACTAAATGTCTTTCTGAAGCAGATTCGTGTAAACAACACAGCAGCAATAAAATAACAACAATAACAACAACAACAACAAGACAAATAATAAAATTATGTGGTCCTATAATATTGACACCTGTGAAATTCAAGGCAATCAGAAAGATTAAGTTAGCACAGCATCAGAAACCGAAGCGACAGTGATTAGGAACCAGCACTAGAGTTGCTGCTGTTCACAGGTGCTATAGATGACAATGTCTACACTCTGTGAAACCATTGCATGACTTTTTTGCTCCCACGCTTGTTAAACATATAGAGAGCTTAAATGCAATTAATTAACTCACAGTGCTCCAGAACAATGTTTTGGGCTGACAGAATAATCACACTCGCAACAACTTCTAATGATATTCTTTTTCTCACACAGTAATATAAACACTTTCAATATCATAAAATACACAGTGCAATAAAGCTGAATTAATGCAAGAGGGAAAATGCAGTTTGGGGTATTTTGTTATGCTTGAATGCTTGATGTCATCACCATAATAGCACAGCAGCAAGGTTTTTGAAGTACTTAACTAGAACAGTATATGGACTGCAACACACTGCCTACAATTCCATTTTATTCATTTGCTGCTGAAAGAGCTTTTTAAAATATTTACAGTGTAATTAGTAAGAAATAATTCTGTGTATTGCATGCAGGAGAAAATATTGCTGGTTGTTAGTTTGCTGAGGAAGTGTGATTACATATTTTTTTTAAATTCCTTGATTGTTTCTCACCCTTTTTGTTGCATTAGCAATATGCTGATGTGATGAAATATAGAGCAGTGGACTAAAAAACTGAGAACTCTGCCAAACACCAGCTTTGCCTCTGGCCAGAGTATTCTGTACACCTGCAGTCCTGAAAGCACTGGAAAGGTTTCTAATTTCATGTTTTGAGAAGAAAAATAAAATGCTCTCAAGGAGTTAGAAGACCTTGCATTTTGGCCAACTGCACTTACATTTTTGGCACTGTATCCTAAAAGTGAAAAGAGACAACGAGGAAAATTTCTCGCAGTATCCAAGTTCAGGATGAATCAGTAACATAGCAGTGTCTTCTGCTCTTACCAAAATCTCTTGAGATGTTCTAAAAATGGACTTTTTAGCTAATTATTTCATGAAGGCTTGCATCACTGTACAAATTTATATAAAAATACCTTCTCAGAATTCTCAAAAGGAATCTTGGCCAGGGTGATTATACACATTACATAATCACTCAGCCAAGCTCACATGGTAATTTTGTTTAATACTGTATTTCTGAGAGGTTTTTTTAAAGCTTACTGCAAAGTTGTACAGCTCTCAAAATACAGCATTTGGTGTATGAATCCCAGCAATCCCAGTGGTTTTGTTTTGCTGGGAGTGTATTACTGTGCTTCCCAATTATTTAAGCACTAAACAATAAATATTTAACTGACAGATTGCAGCTGCTAAATTGTATTTAAATCGTTACAATTAAATACTGTGATACAAATAATTTTTCTAGGTTATTTAGGTTTTGACATAAAAACAATTCTCTTCTTCCAGCTTAAAATAACAGAATTTTTACTTAAACTCATACAGTCACAATCCATAAAAATATAGCTCAACTCATTCATATCAATAACATTTTAATCTTTAAAATGCGATATGCCTATCTGTAGCCTTATTAAAATAAATCATAAATATTCTCATTTTCTTAGAGACAAGATATTTCATTTCTCTAAGATGTCTCTTTTTCTTTTTTAGTGTGAAAAATTGTGACAAATTATTTAAAAATCAATGTCCTAGTAGGAGTTTACAATGTGTTTGACATTCACAAAGGCCAGAAAATGTGGATATATATGAGAGTAATACAGATTTTTTTATCATGGACCAACATGTTATTTTGCCTCTCAAAGCAAAAATTCCTCTTACAGTATGGAACAGGGATGAATTTAGGGCTTTATGTTAATATTTAGCATTATCTAGTGATTCATCTTCTAATATTTATAAATATTTCCCCTTTGATGATCACATTAGGCTGGAGAAGTTGGGGTTTTTTTGAATTCTCTCTTTCAGCAGTGTAACAGCTGTGGAAATGGAGGATGGGACAAATCAGAGCAGAAGAAAACAAGTGATGCTGCAGCTGATTATTCAGTGAAGTTCTGTGAATCAGCAGCAGCTCGAGAGACAGCATCTCTCAAGGAAAAGGAGGAACTGGGGATGAATCCCACGGGGGGAATCTGCCACTGCCCCCTCCCACCAAAGTCACAGCAAGACTTTGTGGTGGCTGCACATGAGAAACCTTTGGGGGCTGACAGTGGCTCTCCACAAAGGGATTAAACAAGTATGAGAGAAGACTACAACCTCTATTATCAGATAATTCTTAAGTGTAATAAAGGGGTGACCTAGTTAAACCACATTCCTGTTCCTGGTGACTCTTTTTTTGTGGTGTCTGAGATAACAGGGAGATTATTTTGGCATCAATTTAATCTAGTTAAATAGCTTTACTGAAGATCTTTATCGCTATAAATAATGGAGGTATTTGAAGTATTTGGTTACAATTCTAACTGAAGTTATCCAACACAATGCTTCTCTAGCAATCCTCCTCTGCTGTTCTCACTCTCTGTCTGAAGAAAGTTATCAATGTTTTGAACACTTTCCAGTAATAGCTTAAAGATACAACACCAAAACAAAACAAGCACAACAACAAAACAGCTGCCCAGTTCTCTGATGAACATTTTTTAAATATCCATGATAGGTATCATGGAACATGGCAAAGGGGTGTATTCACTTACTCTTCAGTAACCTAAGATGTAGGTAGAAAAGGAAGATATCTCAAGAAAGAAAATAAGTAACCCCTCTTTTCCAAAGCTAAACAAAAATCTCTAAAACTATTTGGAACCCAACATCAGCTGCTCTGCTGCAGCACAGTGGGATGAAGTAATAAAAAGCATGAAGCATATCTGCCTATTTATCATTTAAATTTTGGTGAAATGTCTCCTGGGCAGCTGACTGACCTGACACACAACTGCATCGTGGCCAGAGCGTGTGTGATAATAACTGTTTGTAGAGGTTTTTTAACTATGTGGTTCTTATTTATACCTCAAATGACTTATAGTATTGAAGACACAGTGATTTTTACCCATTTGAGAATTAATTTTAAGAACAATGGCAATTTCTAGATAACCTCTCAGAAAGCCTGAAGCCATCTGAAAACACAACAGTTTTACAACAGATAAGCAAATAACTGAACAAGAGGAGGTTAAAAGGAGTGAACAGAATGGACAGATCTTGCTTTATGCAAAGAGCATCTGCTGTCCTCTCGCACAGGATTAAGAAGGTTGGAAACTGTACAAAGAGGGAAAACAAAATGTATTGGCTGCATATAATGTGAGCCAAGCAAATGTGCAGCTAATTCTTAACAACTCCAGAGAAGCAATAAACACTTAAATGGAACACATCCTACCTTGTGCAACTGCTGTCATGTGTCAGACCTGCCTTGAACACTTCCAAAAGGACATCAGCATAAAACAGTATAAATGAAAATATTGCCAGTTTTCTGTTGCCAAGAAAGTATGAAACGTAATGTCTCCCCACCTGCTGTTTTAACTGATGTACTAATCTGTCCTTCTCTCGTTTAAGAGCCATTACTTCATCTTGAGTCTTCTTTTTCTTTGAAGCAGACAGCTCAAGCAAGGCAATGTTTGCATCTTTTTCGCTAATTGCAGCAAGCAAAGCTTCCTGTCTGATAAAAGAAAATAAAATTACAATTGTTACATTCTCATTAAAACAGAATATATACTACTATACCACACTCTGAGATATTTCTTTCAATCACCTACTGTCTGAACATTCTAAATAGCAAACATTGTCAGGTCTAACCAAATCATTAAATAAACTAATTAGCCAAAAATTTCTCTTTATAGACTTTTCATTATTTGGTTCATCAACCATTTATCTCGGTCTGTCACTACAATATGATATCTAACAATAGTTCTGTGAAATTTCTTGCTTTTAAAAATCTTTGATTTTTTTTAAATTCACTTTCCCGAATTCTAGAATACCTTACACAAATCTCTTTTGACTTATGCAGATCATAGAGATTGAATAATAGAAAGCAAAGTGATATAGATAAAATCAATTTTTACATTATCCTGTTAACTTGGTACCCTAGGATCCTCAGTGCAGGAATGTCTGGATATCTTCCTCATATTTACTTACATGTTTTCCTATGGATTTATTATTATTCACTTTGTCAACACAAAAATATATTTCTAGAAGTAAAATACAAGTTTTTTATCTGATTGTTCATGAGAAATCATTTCCTTTGCAATCTTGACCCCTCAATCTTAGAGAGCAAACAGAACCTTACAACACTCAGACATATACAGGAAAACACAGACACTTGCAGGGGCACATCACAAATAGTGTGTGAGGACATAAGACAAAGGCAATTTTTTACAACATGCAGTTGAAAGCACAGATCTTGCAGTATCTTATACCCTAAAAAGCTCATGCTCTGGCAAGGACATAATCTGTCCTTTAATTTCATAAATAAAAGAAATATATTCACCTTCTGCAACGTATTCAGTGACAGACTACGACTTATCAGCCAAGAAAGAGCACATAATACCTAATTCTTTTAGAAATGAATATGTTATGGCCTGTGCCTTTTCCCAGAACTATATAAGATCAATCATTAAAAAATAAACATGGATAAATGAATCATAAATTAACCTTAGGCTCCAACTGCTAATAAATGTAAGAATACAGCTCGTGAACTTCATACAGTCAAGGTGAGCTAAAAGTTTGGAATTCTCACAGGCCTTTGCTTGCCAGCAAAAATGTCAAGAAAGTTAGTTCACTTTTATTTCAAAGTTCCTAATGTATTAATATAAATATTTATAGGACAATATTTCTGATGGAGTCAAAGAAAAACAACCCATTTATTTTAGTCGAAGCTATGCGACATGGATCAATTTTAGATAAACAGTTGCATTTTATTCATACACTTTAATAGTCTCATTTATTATTCTGTCTTGTTCATTCAAATCTCAGTTAAATGATGTTTAAAAGAGAATGTCATAGGACTCCAACAGTCTTAATTTAAATTATAGCTACAAATTATTTTAAAATAACCAATATTAAACAAAAAATATATATCAGAGGGGTTGCATATCCATATTGCTAATTTGAAATGAAATACAGGTATATTATTTTTCTATAAACCTCACAATAATGCATAAAAATTGCTGTGTAGTAATTTGTAAAAGCCTTCCAGTCTGTTTACATATTGTGCTCAAGTACCTATTCTATAACATTTTCATTAAAATATTAAATTTTTAATGCACCAAAATAGAAGATAGGTGATTTCCTGCTCTATTAATTTCCTCTGAACTTGCAGAAAGCAAGCAATTTATCATAAAGTCATGGAATGGTTTGGGTTGGGAGGGACCTTAAAGCCCATCCAGTGCCACCCCACCATGGGCAGGGACACCTCCCACTATCCCAGGTTGCTCCAAGCCCCATCCAGCCTGGTCTTGCACATTCCCTGGGATGGAGCAGCCACAGCTTCTCTGGGCACCCTGTGCCAGTGTCTCACCACCCTCACAGATGTCAGGCACGATAACACAACTTCTCTGGCAGAAATAAAGGTATTCTGTGACTTTAAAGCCAAAGAAGAAGAAACAGCATATTGCATATAGGCATAAAATATATTATTCCAAATTAAATAAGGTTCACTCCTCTGCAGTTTTCTGAGAGCAAACTGTCATAAAATTACAGAGAAGAGTGAGTTAGAAGTGTAACAATGTTCCAGTTATAATATCTGAAGATAAACATTAATACTACCATCACAAATCTACCTATTTTCATTGTAAGCATGTTAAAGAAATCTACATCTCAGAATTTCCAAGGTTTCAGAATATATTTAGGTTCATTCTTAAGCTGTGTAGGTTAACTCCATGCCAGCCAGCCCCAATATAGTATGTCTGCTCTCTAATAGCAAATTCCACAGTAAATACTTGTCAGCCATGAGCTTCTTATTGATATATAGTTATTTAACACATATTACAGCTGTAAAAAGCCAAAAATGGAATAAAAGGTTTAAATTACATGTTGAAAACGACATGAAGCTATACTGAAATTTTACTTCTCTGAAGTTTAGATCATGTCACTGCCTCTAACGTGGCAGTAAAAACACAAATCTGACTAGCAAGGAAGAAGAGTCAGAACCAGTGAATTATTTGGTATCATTTCAACATCTGATAATAGGATTCAGCCACATCCATATTTTTTGCATTGCCAGCCAAAATGATCACACATTCTTGTGATCTTAACTGCTCAGCTGAGCAATGTTCTCCACTCCACTTTAAAGTAACAGATGAGGTGAAATGTTTCATGAGAGAGGAAAGCCAGTCAAATGTGCACTCTGGATTCTGCAGCCCCAAACCCACAAAATTTTGCAGACCTTAGCATGTATTTTCTCAGCTGATGAGGATTTTCCTATCTTGGGAAAATGCTTGGGAAAATATGTAACCAACCACTTTATTCCAGGAAATAATGACTCATATCAAGCGCTTCCAGGAAGTGATGGTTCACAGTCCTGTGAAATAGCTGCTGTCAAATGACACCACAAGTGGTCCACTGAGACACTCCAAGATTTGAATCAAACCCACAGCACATATATGTTTGAACTGCCTCCCCCCCTCCCCAAATGACTGCCAACGTATTTTTTAAATCTTATCTTTATAGTTAATTTAAGTGGAGCTGGGAGGGCTTAAACTTATGAATGTGGAGAGACGAGTGCACGATACGAGGGTGGGGATTTCTGTGGAAGTGTTTCCCCAGCCATGTGCAATGTGAACACATCAAATGCAAACTCACACTGCCAGCACTCCTGGAGCCACCCAAACGTGAGCCAGGCTCTGTTCAGAAGCTGCAAAGCCTCAGTTATCTGAGAGACAAGGTGTTTTAGCTCGGGCATAGTGCCACACAATGTGCTGATGGCTTCCAGACTGGGCTGGCTCACACAGCCTGCCCAGTGTAGGAACAGCACCTGTCTGCACAGACATATTCCTGGATGTGTCAGGAAATTATCCATGTTAATAAACATGGATTATCTGAACAGCAATAACCTCAAATATAAGTGGCATTTAACCAGGCATCCGGGTTAACAAGAGGTTGGCACAGCTGGGCTGTGTATTCTACCAAATGATATGTGGGTTGCTTTAATTTTTGTTAATTAACTACTTCTCTACAGAGGGAAGACAGAGAAGCCCAACAGATTTTATTATTATTTTTTAGAGCACAAAATAAAGAAGCAGGTTTTGACAGAGCACATGAGGAAAGCCATGACCTCCTTTACTCCTGCATGGCCCAGGATCCAGACCCCACCTCTGGAAGACAGAGGTTGAAAAAGACTCTGCCCACACTTGTGGGGCATTGGAAGTGAAGAGATCCAAGCATTTAGGAAGCTGCCTCTCAGGACAGATTAGGATCTCTACCTTATCATATCCTATTTATTACATATTGCATACTAGCTTGCCCTATTCTGTGAAAGTTGTTGTGCTAGCCTGTCCTCATATTTCAAGTTTCCTATGGAAGAACAAAACCTCGTGGATAGAAGCAATTTATTTTATCTCTCCATGACCTTGCTAAAAAAATTAACATCATTGTTTTTGCAGCAATCTGGCCACGAGGAACAAGGTTAAGGTGCGAGCAAAGTGCCTGACAATAATGATTTTCTCACCTATAAACATGAAGTAACTTCATTCAAAAATGTAAACTGGTGGCAAGGTTTTTACCTAAATCTCTCAGGTAAGTCATCCACTTCTACTTTGCTGCTAGAAAATGAAACTCATCAGTTTTAGGGCACGAATTTTTGAAAATCAAGACCTGAATTGGCACCAAGAACAACATACAGCCTGATACACTCTCAACTAACGTGCCTAAGAGTGTAAGCATAATTTATAATTCCTAATTATCTACTGTGTCAGGAAAAAAAATTACTATCCAAATACAGTTCTACAGAGATGTTATCACTATTTGCAGCCAAAATGTCTCCTTATTGTTTAATAAATTATAGCAATAAAATACATTTTAAAATAATTTATTAGATCAGTGGATTAAATGACATTCTTTAACAGTAATATTTATAAAGAGTAATCCCTTTTGTTATTAGTAGTTTTTCCTCTCTTTTTTTGGCAAACTAATCTGTTATACAAATAACATGGTAGTATTTTTAACACAAAAAAAGAATCACTCTAACTTTTCATAGTAAAAGTAAATTCTCAAATTAAAAAATACATATTAAACTTAACAGCAAATGCTCTAAATTGGTAATTATTCTGTACATTTTTCTTTCATCTGCATAAAGTAATTTCTAGGATTCCCAGTTTATCTATCATCCACTATAATATGCTGCTTATTGCAAAGAGAGGAGGGAAAACTTTTCCCTGGAAAAGCAAAACTTACGAAATGAAATTTCTCCTCTCCTGACTGCAGCCATCCCACTCGGATGTCCAGGAATTCATTAATTTACACAAGTTGTGTTCTATCCAAAATTCCAGTTTGTATAATGTTTGCATTAACTAATGAATGCTGGACTACAAAATCTATTTGTTACATTTCAACAAGGCTCGAGATTGGGAGGATTTTCATGTGCCATGAACACAGGAATAAAATTGGTCTTTACAAATCAAGGATGCTGTCTAGAAAAGTAAGGAGAATTCCATATTGATGATC